AAATAAGGTTCGAACAATTGGATTGGAACAATTTAAGAATGGATTCACGACCGTGGTTACTTGACTTTTAGTATGGAATAGCTTTAACAGAGAGGGAAGAGAAGATAGTCATTTACATGCCGAGCAGTTCAAGCAGAATGAAATGAATTATTAGGTGTTCAGATTCTATGGACGTTATTACATATGTCTGCTTTCATCTCAATTGTCTTTTATTGATTTTGTCCATGTATGCCAGAAATATAAAAATATCAAAAGGATACATTCTTTATTCTAAAGGTAATAATACTAATTTAATTTATTAAAGCATTTGTACATCCCACATGCAATCATAAAAACCATTTTTATAATTGAGAAGTGGCATAGATACTTACTGCTAACTTTTTCATATCTTCGATGACAAGTACATGTAAGAGTAATCGAATGTTTCACTTGAAGGACTAAAAGCAAAAGCCATAGTCTATATAAAATGAGTCAATACACGTACATACAAATTGCAGTTACTTTCCTGAAGCCGTGCCATCCATAGTCTCTTTTAAACACAAACCATTAAGTATCTCAAAACTTGACTCCACTTGCATATGAGAGCAAATTAGCGAATCTGATTTTTATGGCTTTTTAATTGTTTCCATAACTTTGTTTGTTATGATTTTGCGGAATTTTCAAGAAAGTGGGGAAGCAGCACTGCACCAACAATTAAATCTGACTGTCTGACTGGGGCAAGCTTCAAACAGCGAACATCCTTCTCGGTGCACATCGCACTAATATGTGACTAATTAAATTTTCCTTTTATTGGTATTGACTCTTTGAATTGAAATTAAAAAGTCAACTAATAGAAGATACTTCTCCCTGCTCTCTGTGCTGCTTGAAGTATCCATTTAAGGACTAAGCGTGGAAGTAAATTCAAAAACTTTCACATTTTTATAGGTTTGTGTTCATTTGTCGATGACAATAAAAATATTGAAAGATAATAATGATAATTACACAATGAGAACACAAATTGTTTAACAAACTTATTAGAAATTATTATGGTGCAATTATTGTTTTTCATATCTAAATAAGATTTTATTGTTATTTATTAATTGCCACTTGACAATTATTTTTATTCCATATAACAACAATATTCATCTCCCACTTCATTGATTCAATGGATGATAAAACGATAGAGCTGATAATGGTTTTAGATAAACTGATTATTAAGGTGTTTGGAATTTTTGGGTAAATCTAAATTGATAAACAAATTTATTCAATAATATTATTTTATCATAAATATTTAATATAAATGTATTTGCATTATATATACGAAATGGGAAAACATTAAATAAAGTGGCATTCTGATTTAAGAATGTGTGGTATCACCCGACTTTCATCTTAACGTTGGAATTTGACAAAGTGGATAATAGTTTCTTTGTTAGAGAGCTGCTTCGGCTAAAATTTCCATTAAGTAATATTTATATATATTAGCAATGTAGTTTTATTGATCTTTAATCTAAAGGCTCAGTTAGACGGTAGGTAACGTAAGAAATTAATTTAAAGCGAAATGCACAACCAACCAAACGTGTGTGTTTGATAGAAACGAAATAAACAAAGTACACCCTTTTTATTTACTTCGTTCCTATCAAATACGCAGGTTTGGTTGGTTGTGCATTTCGCTTCGAATTAATTTCTTACGTTACCTACTGTCTAACTGGGCCTTAATTCAATTTGTAGTAGATAATTCCATGGAGAGACTCTCCATGACAGTTCACTCTATGAGTCTATGAATATATGAGTGTCTCTCATAAACACTCTCTTAATGTTAAGTGCATTATCTATCACAGTTTAACTACAAACTCTCCAGCTTTGTAACATAATTCAAATCTAATAAAACCATTTTCACAGAGAAGTATACTAAAAAGTGAAAATTTTAAATGTTAATTTTTTCTTGCCGAGAATGACGCGTCTTATGACAAAAAGAAACTATTTAAAAGTTAGAAGGGTTCAAATACAAAATGAAAAAAACAACAACAACAATTTTAGTTAATTTTGTTAAGCAAAATTTCAATACTTTAAGTAAAAATTTTCTGTTTTTGCTATGAAACGAATTTTGAAACTATAAGATCTCTCGCCTCTAACGAACATCTGATAGCAGACTTAATATTCACGCATTTATTGCATACAAGGCTTTGAGTCATAATCCATTGATTGAAGACAGTAAGTTGTGCGATATTACAAATTCTGCAAGTTTTTCTCTTCTTACAATCCTAATATCAATAAATTGAACTATGTTTGTTCATTGTTCATTATACCAAGGAACGAAAGAATTCGTTTCCGCCTATCTCGCAAGGTATAATACCAGCCCATTTTTGATTACAATTACTAATTTTATACTATTATTTTTATAAATAATAATTTTGTGGCATTTGACGTCAGAATACTGACTTCTATACTGTCTAGCTTCTTTATGTCATTGATTTAAACATTTAACATGTTATGAAGGTCAAAACTCTTGGATATTGGGAAAGTAATATCAGTGCACTTTGAAAGAGATTTCGTTGTTTAGTCAATTGCTTCAATTGCAAGTATACTTCTATGGCCAAGGATCCACATTACTCTAAACATCTAGGAGTGCGTTTATTACACCGCACTTAATCTAAAGATAACCGTGCTATTCTATTGTAATAAAGATTAAAACACTATCAAAGCACACTATGTATGTCCCTTTAGGCATAAACCTTCGTCATCGAGAACAGCTTTAATGAGGTTAATTCAAACAATCAAAATAAGTATATTTTAGTTTTTAGTGATTGTATTATTAATATATAACAGAAATACAAAACATAGAATACGATAATTTGAGTTAAGTGCGGAAAAATTTCTCAAATAGTATACTAAATTACTAGGTGCTGATCTCATCCAAAATGTTATTAAATAGTTAAAAAGACTTACTAAAAAATGCATGACGAACACCAAGATCTTTTGGACATTTTAATAAATTTTAATCCATTTTATTAAATAAGATGTTATTATTTGCCAAAATATATATTAAGATAAATATTTCCAAATTAGTCGAGCCTAAAAATACAGTGTTATTCATTTTGTGGTTTCGAAATTGACCATAAATAAACCACAGTCATGATTGGAATTTCGATCAATATATTTCGATTTCAATACATTTTATTTGGACCTTTGATGGAATACATCAACATTCAAATGTCCTCTATGCGATATTTTACAATACAGGAACTTTTTATATACCCGAAAAAACTCGACCATAACTTGATAGATGTTCGCTTTCAAAGCATCGAGAGTTTGATGATTGTCCGGACTGACACGATTCTTTTAGGGTCAATTTCCACACCCTAAACATTAAATTACGCTTTCGGAAAATTTCCGAAATGCAAAACAAAAAAATATAATAAAAATATAATTGGCATAGTCGGTATTATAAAAGTTATAAAAAACAATCTTTTTTCTTACCGAAAAAAGAAAAATCACCTGAATTTGAAGAAAATATAAAGAGACGCGAAGAGTGTTTAATTAAAATTTTAACATTATTTTTCCTTGTATAAAAACTAAATAATTGTTTTTTTAATTGAATAAATATTAAAAAAAGCAGAAGATATTGCTTTTTTAACAAATCTCGAAGAATGAACGCCGATCAGTCAACATTATAATAAAAGTAATCTCCAAACGAAAGTAGATCTAATGATCAAGCTATACGATAAAATCTTTCCACAGAAAGTAATTGGACTAATCATAATAACAGCAGTAATAGATATCCGTAGGTTTTAATCAATTTTACATAAATTTCCCGGAACTTGTCACAATAAGTTACCCTCTATAGTAGTAGAGAAATGAAATAAAAACAAATTTATACATTGTATTGTAAGGCTTGTAACTTATGGAGAGAGAACACCATTATGTTAAAACAACATTTTAGCAAATAGAATTATTTGTTTCAAAAAAGTATGGGCCTACTATACTTCTAAACCAAATGCCAAAAAATACAAAAACTTTTACAAGATATAATAGTCTTCGACAGTTACTTGACGATTATCTGTCCCCGTAGATAGTACAAAAAAAATTCTGCGACAAGCTATGTACGCTCCGTGGTATGTCAAAAACAAAAACCTACATAAAGACCTAAATCTACCAACTACCAACTATCTACACCTAAATTCCCAGATAGACTCAAGTCGGATTTAAGTCCTCATGTTCGACATTTATCTTCTGCAATTGCACTAAATCGCCTTAAAAGAAAATCATTATTGTCAGTTTTTATTTAGTAAGATTCAATAAATAAACCAATGAAAAAAAAATAAAAAAAATTCTATGTAAACAAATAATTTGCATTTTTTTTTTAATTTGAAAAAATTTAATAAATTCACTAAACTATTTCAATAAGCATTTACATATAAACAATAGATTGCTTATATACGATACAATACATACATACATACATTTCGTATAGAATTTCAGTAATAATTAAAAAAAAACAATTATAACAATATATAATATTAAACTATAATAATACTCTTGATTTAATTTATTTAATATGTAAAATAATTTATTTCATTTTATAATTTATAAACACAATGCAATTAACCATAATAAATAAAAAATATGTCAATTGTTTAAAAAAATTTTTTCATTCATTTTTCATATAAGCTTGACGCATTTTTATTGGCAACATGTTGCAAGGAAGTAAGTGTTGGGAATGTGAGGGCAGTGAGCAAATGATTTGTACGCACAATTATCAGTTAATATCATCAGATAATACAGTTAAACCGCACGCATTTCCCCCCATTAAAAAGACAAACAACTGCACATGTACATTATGGGCTCTGCCTTTTAACGTCAAGAGTAACCGTAACAGCAACAGCAACAGTAACAGTGACGGCTACGCGTCGACACCAAGCGTCAACGTCAACGTCAACGCCAACGCATAACACTTGCACATGAGCGCCAGGAAACGAGATGGCAGAGACGATAGCTGATACTGCATGAAAAAAGGTTTTCGTTTGTTCAGTTGTTTCAGTTGCAACACTCACCTATAAAAGCAGACGACACAAAAGGATATTCGTTCATTCAGTTCAGTCGACTTCAGTGAAGAGGTGCTCCACAGGTGTTACAGTTACACAGTTACAGTGAAGTGAAGACAACTCGAGGCGATTTAAGCAGACGAGTGTGACAATTGGCTAAAACGGAAACGCAAACTCTGCTTTCTGTGAGTTTTAAGTTATTACAATAGATTAACTTTTTTTTTGGTTTTTTTTTTATGTTTTTTGGTGTTATGTGAATGAATTTGTGTTATATTTTGTGGCCGTCGGACATCAAAACAGTGAAATTATGATCTATAATTTTTTAATTTTGAAATAATATAAATTAATTGAATCCAAAACTCTAAAGGAGTTTTATTTTCATAAAAAGAACGCAGTGAGTTTTTCTATTTATATGAAGAAAATTGACTTCAATTCAAAAAATATTATATTCAATATTACTTGATTTGAAAAAATTGATAAAATTTGCAATTAATCATTTTTATTTTATCACAATTGTTTGTTAAGATTTTAATAAATATTATCGATAATACAAAGCGATAAATTAAAAATTGCTACGCACCAAACATGAAATTATTTATTTTATTATTAATAAATATCTATGTATTTTTTAAGATTTTTTAAGAATATTTAATTCATATATATTTATATATATTTAGTTAAAAAAATTAAATAATTAATTAGTCTTTGTAATTAATTAATAAACTATTTAAATGCTTACAACTTTTTTCAACAAACGCTTAATTTTTATCATTTTTCATATTTTACAATTATTTACGTTTATTTCCCCACATTTAATTTTATTTTATTATAGTAATTACAACTTGATTTTATATTATTAATTTTTTTATATTTCACACTTATTTATTATTTGTTACCTCGCCCACATTCAATTTCATTTTATTATACTAATTACTATTTCAATAAATTTAAATTTTTATGCTTTTAATTTTAGTTGTATAAATTGAGCTATGCTTATTTCTAGTAACTTTATTTTAATTACCTTTTTAAAATAAATTTATTATATATAATATTATATATATATATATATATATTAATATTAATAAAATATAATAAAATAACATTTTATATGACTTTTTTCTGTGTTTTATCTTACACGTAGCTCTTATCATTTTTATTGTTCAATTTATTTAAACTTTTTAATTGCTCTACTTTATTTTATAGTCATTTAAAAAATATTTTTTATTAATCACTGGTATGGTGATTTTTAATAATTTGTGTTGTATTTTTAATTTTGTTATTTTCAATAATATTTTACATTTATAATAATTTATTGTTTTGTAAATTACCAAAATTTTTTAATAATAATTTTGTTTTTAAAATATGCTAAATAATGAAAATTAGCATATTTAAAAAATTTTGTTTTTAAAAAATTTTTTATTTTTAAAACTAAATTTTTTTTAAAAGTGTATTATTTAACTATTGACTAATTAGCCCCTTTTTAAAACCAATATTATTATTTTAGATTTACAATATCATTTTGAAAATTTTAATATCAGTATTATAACTTTAATATTTAAATAATTATAAACGTTAGGGTTGTATTACCTTATGCTTATTTTGTTATAATTATAATTAATATATATAATTAATATATAATTAATAAATATATATTTTAATAGATTTTGTTATATTTAATAATATTGTATCTATTTTAAATAGTTTTCTGTTAACAAATCTTATTAAAATTTTTGATGGCTATATTATATTATACTTATTTTATAACAGTTTTTTTTAATATTTATTTCATTTTATTTTTTATTTTCTGTAAAACTTTAATATTTCATATTTTTAAAGCTTAAATTTTAGTTTTATTAAAAGTCTGAATTGTTGAAATTTAGTCTGAATTGTTAAAATTGACTAAATTCAGCTTTAATTAAATTTTATCATTAGAATATTATTAATTTTGAATTTATGTTTATTTTAACACATAAATAATATATTATAATATATTAATAATTTGATTTTATAAAATGATATAATTTCATTTACACAAACGAAATTAAAAATATTTTTTATTTCTTTAATAATATATTTACAGTAATTTTATATTATACAATTATTACACAATTTGTTTTAACATTTAAATTTTGAAATGTTTCTTTTTAATTTGTTATATTAATTAATTGATAATTATAATTAGGACATATTTAATATTGTAAACTTACTTAAAATTTTATTTACTTTTGGTTTATGTTTTTCTAACAATTGATAAATTTTTAAAATTTAAATAAATTAGGACATATTTAATTTTGTAAACTTACTTAAAATTTTATTTAATTTTTGTTTATGTTTTTCTAACAATTGATAAATTTTTAAAATTTAAATATTTTTCTCACTTATATACATTTAGATTTTTTTCATTTTTGTAATTTTTCTTAATTTTATTAATATACATTTTTATAAAGTACAATTATATGTTATTGAATTTTGATCAATTAGCCCGTACAATATGCAAGGAATAAAATTGTTGCTTTTTAAAATAAAATAAAAAAATTAATATAAATAATTATCTTTAAAACATAAATTTTTATGAGAATATCATTAATTTTTTTGACAGTTTTTAATATTATTATTATTATTAATTTTATTTTTATTGTTTACACAATTTGACCCTTAATTGCAATCTACATTTTATTTTTTTATTTTAATATTATAGCATTACTTTTGGTATTTATTTATTCAGAGTTTTATTTTTACATTTAAATTTTCAAAATTATTCTTTAGTTATATTAGTTTGTATATTGTATTTTTTGTCTATCGTTTTTGCTAATATAACTAAAATTTATATCTATAATTTTTTATTATTATCAATACATTAATTTTTTAATACTAATGCTATTATTTATATATTTAATTAGTTTATATATATTTGTTATTAATATATTTGATCATGATTATTATCAATATAAATTGTTATAAATTGTTTAATAATTTATATTTATATATTTAATATAACAGTTTTTATAAATTTTAAATTTTTTGTGTTATCTTTAATAAATAATACTATTTTATTCTATTAGTTTTTTAATATATTTTTATTAATTTCCAAATAACATTTATTATAACATGTAGACTATTGTATCGTATATAGAAAATTCTTTCTAAAATTCCATAATTTTTTTTTTTTACATTTAAATATTAGTTTGAATATTCAATTCTGATATATAAATTTTTATTAATATCAAAATTTTAATTTTTAAAAAATTTAATTTTAAAAATTAATAACATTGTTTTTAATATTCTCATATGTATTTCTTAAGCTTTTTTCTGTACTTCTCTTATTTCTCAATATTGACCAATAAAAATAAATAATAATAATAAATAATTTTATTAAATACACAAATTGCTTTTAGAAGATTATTTTCCATTATTACTGTTTTTAATCTTTTAATAAATGATCAAAGATATTGTATTTGGTATTGTATTATTTATTGTAAAACTTTTAAACGTATTTTTCTAAACATTATAGTCATTTATATTGATATCTTTAATCTGATAAATAATCAATTTTCATTACTTTTAGTAGAAAACGTTTTGTTATAATAGTTTTACAAAATGCAAGTTTGTATGATTTCTCAACTATATGATAGATCGGGTTATAATTTAATAATTGCTTGATATATTTTATATAAATAACACCTCTATTTTATTATTATAGTATCTTACTGCTTAGTGTCACTGCTCTTGAAAAATACTCCGGTTTTTATAAATAATAAAATACTATTTATTTATTATGTGATATTTGTAAATATTATTCGATATATGCATTGTTTTAATTTAAGACTAAATGTATATACTATATATATATATATATATATATATACGTAAAATCGTAATTAAAAATAAAATAGCTAAATGTATCGAGTCACATTTCTTGGCTTTGTTTTAAATATTTTAATTTAAATTTTGCTATTTTGGAAAAATATTTGATATTTAAGTCTAAAAATCGTTTTAAAGTTTCAACTGATTTCTACGAAATTAATTATGTCATTAAAATTACCTCTAAGCTTAAAACATTTTGCCACACAAACTCTATCACATAATACAGTTAACATTATCCTTCAGTAATACCAACATTGCGGTATATTCTATTAAACTCGAGTAAAGTTTTTAGTCGTATATTTTATCTAATTATTTCACACCTTATAAAATTGTTTTGTGCTGTGTTTATACACTGAATTATGTAAAATAATTCCTCTCACAACAAGTTATATACATTTAAAAAAATAGTTATGAATGCAAAGATATTAAAGGATTAAGGACATTTTGTTCCATTTTTTTTCCTACGCTGTTATAGTGTTTGTACTTTTTGTGCCGAATAATAAAATAATAGCAACTTGCAAATGTGTTAGTTTTACAAATACATAAATAAAAGAAAGTTTACATTCCCGAAAATGGATTAATCTGATTCTTTTTACTTCATGTACAATATTATTCAATATTATTGTGATATTTTGTTATAGTTTACATTGCCGTCTACTCTGTTAAATTAACATAGACTAATAAGCTTCAATCTAATTTAAAAAAAAATATCATTTACAAGGATGGAAATAATAACCATAGAAATATTTAACAAAATATAAAATCTTATAAGTAATTTAGTACTTCATTTAATAAGTATTATTATTAAAAGTCCAGAAAAAAAAACCCAGAAGAGTCCTATTGTACCAATTTTACTATTGTTTACACAAAGCCCTTTAAAGCTTTGTAAACATTGTCCACAACTAAATCTAGAGAAGAGCTCTTAATCTGTTTTGGTGACAGAAATTGCATATGAAATAAGTTTGTTCTGTGCTTTGTTAAAGCTGGACAGTAGCATAGAATATACATAGTAGTTTTCTCATCTTCGACGCATAATTTGCATTCCGATATTTTACACCATAATGACCCTTAGCAACCTTTAATTACATTTTGAGAATTTAAGAATGTTTTTCTACGGTTTTACCAGTTTTATCAGTGCTTTGCTTTGTTTAAGTCCTGGGTAGTCTTCTCAGCACTCCAGCCGCGTATGATTTTCCCTATTCTTGCTAATTTGTTTTGTACTGGCCTAGTTTAACACACAAAAGGGTTGAGGGCCTGTGAAAGCAATTTTTGTTGCAGTTCTGGCTAGGTTAGTTTGTTCATTTCCCAAAAACCCCCTGTG